AAGTCAATGTTACCTGTGTCCTCAAGCCGTCTCAAATACCAGAAACGATCACACTAGTAAACAAGACTAGGCCTGGATGAACTTCAGACCCCAGGAAATGGCAGATAATACATAAAAGGCAAATCAGATTTTTACAATTCTGTCATTGAAAAAGCTGACCACGCACTGAGAAGATAGACAAACCCAGTGTCCATTAAACTTCATTTGAGATAGTTTTATGTGTGAACAAAGTGTTCACTGATTAATCTCTGAACTCCTCCCCCCCCAATTTTCTGAGGCATCATCAGGTAACTATATTTATATGTGTGTGTCCTCTTTGTCTCTACTCATCAGAAACAAAGAAGGGCCCAGGGAAGGCCGGATATTGTTATGCAAACCCAGCTTTCCAGACCCTTCCCGGGGATTAGGGTTGGATGACTCAGTCCTTCCCCTGACTTGGTTTTGATTTGAGATGTGTCAGGCGAGTCTGGAGGAAGTGACAGGTCAGGGACAGAAGACTAGAAGGGAATTAGCCAGAAGTGGAGAGCAGAGCCACCACGTTCCAGGCGGTAAGGGTCTGGGGCCAGTCCTGGGCAGGACGGAGTTGTAGGGAGTGAGCCTGGAGTCCAGAGAGACCCAGAGGGCAGAAGGGAGGTTATATAAACCAGCCGGAGGAGTAAGCCTTCCTAAGTAGTGTGAAATGGGTTTGAACAAGGGACACACCTGACCATTCTAGCAAGATTTCTGTGGCTTTACTGTGAGAAACCAGTTCTGGTGGGTGTCAGGGAGATAGTCACAGGCTCTCTGTGGGGTGTGAGGGTGGCCTGGCCCAGGGTACAAAGCGAGGAGGAAGACAGATGCGAGGATCTGTGAGGTGGAGAGGCTCCAAAATCACAGAGAAACTCTGTCTCAAAAGAACAAAAAACAAAAAAAAAAAACTGTTCTTTGACCTCCACAGTTGTACACACACACACAGACACACACTCAAACACACAGACACACACATGCATGCACACACATGCATGCACGTTCACATCAGTGAGATCACAGGAAGCAGGGCTTGAAGCACTGGTCATATCCACAGTCAAGGAGGAGAGGTTCAATGCACGCCCCCTGCTCAGCTCTCACTTCTCCTCTCCTATCCAGTCCAGAACCCCAAACCAGGGAATGACATCACCCACAGTGGACTGGACTTTCCTACATCAGTTAAGGCCACTGGGACCCCAAACACCCACAGGCTAACTGATCTAGACAACTCCTCGTTGCGATTCTAGTCCCAGGTGATTCTAGACTGGGTCAAATTGACTTTTAAACCTACCCAGCTCAAGGGGGGATGGACAGAAGCCAGCCTGGGGAGGAAGAAATAGTGCCGGGGTATAGAAGGGTTTGCGTCTAAAGGGAAGCAAAGAAATGGGGTGCAGAATGAGGAGCATAGAGCGCTGGACAGTTTGGTCTTTAGAACCATGATACAGGCTGAGGAGTCAGAGCAACAGACAACCAGGGTCCTGGAGAGGGCCAAAAAACGGGGGTCATGGGTTCTAGCACAGACCCAGCAGCTCACATAACATGGAGTGTGCTTTCCCATAAACCAGGAGAAGGACCACCCCGAAGGGCAAGGCTGGAGTGGTCACCTGACCTGGGGGTCAGAAACACCATGACGTGGCTCGCCTCTGGGACCTGCAACAGCTACCAAGAGATGGGTTGCATAGAGCCGCATCTCCCTGCCAAGACCATGCCCACTGGCTCAAAGGCTGGCAACTTAGGCTACTTCCTCGTGAAGGTACTTCCTGGGAGCTTCACCCAACAGTGGCTGAAGAAGGCCTGAAGAAACTGTGGTTTCCAAGAAATTCTTTAGCAACCCTTCAGGTTTTGTCTCCACCAAGGATGGGGGAAAAAAGAACCTAATGCTCCTTTAATCCTGAGCTCTGCCGCCCTTGAGCTTGCTGCCTGTCTTGTTTACTTCGCTACTTAAGAAATGGCAGCCACTCACTTGGGCATTTAAAGGAGGGAGGAGGAATAGGACCCGAGAATTCTCGATGTCCTGTTGTTTGCTGGAGCAGCTTCCGGCTTGCCATATTCATCCATCCAGTTTTAGCCGAGTTCTACTGGGCACCAAGCAGCGGCAGCTGCTGGTGACATTGCCACTGGGAGAAGTTACCCACAGGGTCCCCGAGACACACGGGGTGCTCACACCCGAAGTCATCCAGCAGTGAGAACCTGACATCCCCACGAGTGCCTCCTGCCACTTGCAATGAGAAGCCCTGCATGATGTTTCTGCCTACGCAAAAGGCTGGATCCGACCAGATTAGAAACAGATAAATGCAAGTTTATTGAACATAGCTCTCCCGCAAATCCATGGGTCCCAGAGAAGGGGCCAGAGAGGTCAAGAACCCAGGCTAAGGCAGGGGATTTTATGAACCTTAGGCCATGGATGATGATGAGGCAGTCAGAAGCTGAGACTGTGCGCAAGTATGGTCAAAATCTAGGTCTCTGGGCAGGCACTTGGGTGCCATTCCCTTGTTCAGAGTTTTCTCAGAGCGCTGCCAGGGTTGGGGGAAATAGGGCAGACAGGGTTTTTCAGCTTGGGCAAGGGGGAGCAGGGACTCCAACTGAACACTGCGCATCGATGTTTCCCCAGTCTGAGAAATGGGCCTACGGCAGGATTTGTTTATATTACATATAAGAGTCCTTGTCTAGCATGCGCAAGGCCGTGGGTTCAATCTCCCTCACCATATGAACCAGACATGGCGGCACATGCCTGTAATTCCACACTCTGAAGGTGGAGGCAGCAGGGTCAGACACCTAAGGCCATTCTCTGAGTTTGAGGTCCGTCTCAAAGAACAACCAAGCCATGAACAGAACCAGAAAACCTCCTGGGATTGTTGCTGCAGTTGAATTAGCTCACACTCCTGAAGTTCACAGAAAACATTCCAAGTGTTCTTATAATTATTGGCAAGCGATTTCCCTACCTGCCTCATCTCTGTAAACACCTCACACCAGAATAAGGCTCGACCTCAAAAGTCTATGTGCTGCAGACTTGATCCCCAAATTATATGTCAATGAGATCTCCAGGCGCAACTTTGGAAGGCAATTGGGGTCCCATGAAGTGAGGTTGAGGTCCCAGGGTAGCTTTAGTGGATTTATTTTATTTTACTTTTTGTTTTTCAAGACAGAGCTTCTCTGTGTAGCTTTGACTATCCTAGAACTTGTTCTGTAGACCAGGCTGGCCTCAGAATCACAGAGATCCACCTGCCCCTGCCTCCTGTTTGCAAGGATTAAAGGCGTGTGCCACCACGGCCCAGCCTTTGGTGACTTTATAAGATGAGAAAGAGAGACCAGCACTGGTTGGTGTGTTCACTCTGCCTCTCTGTGTTTCTGCCACCACGTCTCAGCACAGCAGAAAGGCCCCAGCCAGAACCAGGCAGAGGTGTAGGTGGATCTTTCTCTGTCCCACCTGCCAGTTCCCAAATCACAACACCGGGACTTATTAATTGTGAAAACTCGGCTGACTGCTTAGACTTGTTTCTAACTAGTTCTAACTTAAATTAACTCATATCGTTTCATCTATGATATTTTATGTGGCTCAGTTATCTTTACTTTGTAAAGCCCATTCTGCTTGCTCTGTGTCCCTGGTGTCTCCTCATGACTCCATCCTTCCTCTTCCCAGTGTCCTCTCTGCCCTGAAAATCCTGCCTAGCTACTGGTCATTGGGCTTTTTATTAAGTCAATCACAATGACCCATCTTTACACAGTGTAATCGAATATCTCACAACACAGAGATCAGCCTCGTGCTTGGGGGTTTGACGCTCAGCACCATCAAAAGAAATAACGAGTGAAGGTGCTTCCCATCAGGATGGTGTTTCTCCAGTCAGCGCCGTAAACGCCTGGGCCAGGCAGTGAACGATCTCTCAACAGACAGCGTCCTGTGCATGTGAGTTATTAGTGGGACTCCTGACCTGTACTCACCAGCCAGCAGCATCCTCCCTCTCCCAGTTTAACACCCAGATTCGTCCCTCTTGTGTTCTGCAACGGGGAAGCTGTTTCCACAGGCTCCTGTGTTAGAAGGGTGAAGTAACCTCCCCAGCATTTGAGGCAGGAGGATCAGGAGCTGCAGAGAACCTCATGATAGACCCCTGCGGTTGTTCTCTGATTTCCGTCCACACGCGAGAGTGACCAATAGCACCGAAATGGGGACGGAGCTCTGTGTGTGAATTCACACAAGCGTGACTGAAAACAGACCATCCCCAAAGCTTCCCAGAAGATGAACTCACAAGCAGGTGAGAACGTGGTGATGGCTGTTGTTCCAAAGATCAGAGAAAGGCAAAGGGGGCCTGAGCGACTTACCAGACCAGCTCACAGTGAGTGAGTTAGGCCCACGTTACCAAGCCGGTTTTCCCTAACTGCCCCTGGAACTCTGTAAAAAGAATATGAATTCCACAAAGGCTTGTATACCTACAGGACAGCCCAGTGGCCACACCACCTTCTCTGTGTGAAAACAAAGAGCAATTGCCTCTGCACCGGCCATTTGACCCCCTCCCTATATGACCCGGGCTCTAAGACCAGGACCAATCCCAAGGGGAAGAAGGCAGAGTCCCACGGTACTTTTATAATAGCACCTTGGAATCATTCGACAGTTAAGAGCAGTGACTGCTCTTCCAGAAGACCCAGGTTCTAATCCCAGCATCCATTTGGCAGCTACAATGATTAACTCTAGTTCCAGGGAATCTGGCCTCCTCAGGCACTGCATGCATATGGTATACAGTCATGTATGCAGGCAAAACAAGCACATAAAAATAAAAATAAAACACAGATGTTAAACCGAGTGTAGGTATACACCTGTAATTCTGGAACTCAGGAGATGGAGGCAGAAAGAACAGAAATTCAAGGTCATGCAGCCTGGGCTACATGAAACCATGGCCATAGATAAATAAGACACCAAAACAATACAAAATAGGATGGAATAAAAATAAATACATATTTTTTTCCTGTTGATGCTGTCCTGGGGGCCTCACTGCACAGTGTCAGAAGAAGGGGAAGTCACAGAAGTTTGGCTTTTCATTTTAGGACGGCCCTGTGGGGCGGGGACTGGAGGTGCACAACCTACCTGATCCAGTAGAATCAAGATAGAGGCACAGGGAGAGACATGGGTGCAAACGCACACGCAGCTTGCACACTCCACATGCACACACACACACACACACGTCCACACCTCTTGCACACTGTACTGCAGTCGCTCACACCATCCATCACTCCAGCCAAGCTCCCTCCCTCTAGACATAGACAGTCTCTGACTTCAAAGGGTGTGACCTGACCTTCTCATCTACAGCAGTGTGACAGTGTCCACACAATCACAGGTTTGCACTTCTGAGTAAATCTGATGAATGACTGGGTGGTAGCTGGAGGCTGCCATTCGATGGCTTGGCCCCTCTCTGTGGCTGGCTAAGCTGCGATGCTCCGTGGGCTCCTCATGTTCAAGGTGCTCGAGGAGGAACTCTGCTTGACATGACTCTGTCGGACAGAGCTAGAGGTTCCACGGATCAGAAAACTCAGTATGCACTGTAAAAATGAAAACAGGCAGAACAGAGACAAGTTCAGGGAGGCTTGAGGGGAGGTGACAAGGACCAGAGACATCAGCCTGATTGGAGGAGAAGAGGAAGTGAGTTGGGAGGGACCAAGGTGGAAGGACTGTTGGAGCGGCAGTGCTGGTGATGGAGGCCGAGAAGGTGAAGGGCTCTGCAGTTGCTCGGAGCACAGAGTTAAGGACAGGGAGCATCAACAGGAGCGTCTCTGCAGAGCCTACATACTGTCCTGAAATCCAAGAGTAAGCTGCCAGGACTTGGGAAGCAAAGACAGGCGGGTTTCCGTGAGTTCGGGACCAGCCTAGTCTACGTAGTGGGTTTCAGGGCAACCATGGATGCATAATAAGGCCCTGTCTCAAAACAAAACAAAGAATGAAAGAACAAAGCCCCCCACCTGCACCATTTCTATTTACTCTTTGAATCTCATCCAAAATCCTAAGTACATGTGTCCTGACTCTCCACAGAGAGGCAGACATTGTTTTGATTTCTTTTATTTAACCTTCTGGAGAGGATGCCATGGCTGTCCTATTACATACAGAACAGATAGACCTAAACCAATCTATCTATCTATCTATCTATCTATCTATTCATTCATTTATTATTTATTTATTTATTTGCTTGCTTGTTCATCAAAGTAGGGTCTCAAGTAGTCCAGGCTAGCCTCAAGCTGCTACAGGCCTCGAACTCCTGAACTTCTGCCTCTACTTCCCCAGTGCTAGCATTATAGGCGTGCCCCCACCACCTCTGGTTTGTACAGTGGTGGCGATCAAACCCAGGGCCTTCTGCATGCTAGGCAGGCATCCTTCCAATTGAGTTTACACCCTAGCCCAGGCCACTCTGATCTGTCCTGGTAACCACGTGTGCAGTGAATGTGAAAACCAGCCTTGCTCACAGTCAGGAGAGGGGGCAGCTCTTGCTGATCCCACTGGAAGGCATTCAGAGCCGACGGTTATGCTCTGAGAAGTTTGCAGCTGACCAGGGGAGAGGCTAAGCACGCTTGCCTGAACTACACCCCCAGCCTGATTTTGTGTTTAGACAGGGTCTCACTACATAGCCCAGACTAGCTTAGAACTTGGACCAGTCCTCCTGTCTCAACCTCCCAAGTACTGGGATTAGAAGTATGTGACACCATGCACGGCTGAGGTAAGGACCAGTCCCTGGGATTCCATGATCCTCTTGCTTCAGTTCTCTGGGTAGTGGAGACTCCATCCAGCTGTGTTCCTGTACCTAGCTTGTCCAGCTTCCCCCCTTGTTCAATTTACGACTGGTTCCTGCTTCCCTCGTCCTGACACTCAGTCTCCGTTGCCTCCTGTCCCAGCTAAGCAGCTCTCTGGGGCTTCTGTCTGGGGATAGCTGTAGTACCCCCGACAATCCTGCCTGTAGTCCACAGTAGGTGTACTCCCAGCAGACTTGGTTGGTGGTCCCCAACAATATCACACACCGCACCGTCTCAAATTTGGAATTGAAAATAATAATCGTATCTTCATTCTCCAGTCGCGGCCCATGCATTTGAAAGCAAGCTGGAGGCGATGTTTGCCTTGGGGTGCCTCACTCTGGAAACTCTCATCGTAGGTCCTTCCGGGTCAGGGGAAGGCACTGGTGACAGTAGTGTTAAGATAACTTGGCAGAAGTCCAAGATGACGGCTGCAAAGCTTCTAATTCCTCTCTAGTAGAGAAAGAGAGGTCATACTTTCCAAAGACAGGCTTCTGCCTGGGCCCCAAGAGAGCCCCCTGCCACCTGCAAATCCCTACAGGGCTGCTACCTAAGAAAGTCAATCTGAAGCATCTGACAGAGCCCAGAACCAGAAAAACTGCTCTCCCACTCCGGGTTGGAGCTGCTTCCTGGATCTTGCCACCTGCGCCCCCCTCCCCTCCCCCAGCCCAGCTGGATCTATAATGCCCTCAGGCAGGGACAGGAATTCTTTACCCCCAGTAAACCTCTGGAAACTATAATTACGGGGGAGGGTTGGTTTCACGGAGTTCTTGGTGCACAGCTGCTCAGGGCTACAAGCCTTGTAAGCAGGGGACCCAGTGACTGGGAACAGGAGACCACCCTTCACTTTAATGTGGGGGCCAAGGGGGTGCACGTCCATTGAAGAACCGATGGACAGATTGCAATGCCTGTTTCCATGCCAGCTAGACATCAACGGCTGGGCTTGGCAGCCGGTCACACAGGGCTTGGAGTTACCCGCGAAGCTGCCATGGAAGGGAAGCAACATGCAGCCCTTAAAGTGTGCGTGTTGGGGGCGGGGTTATTTACAGATTTGAAAGATGTTCCTGAGTGGTGCCTGAGGCTCACTGGTGGGGCGCTTGCCTGGCACGCTCAAGGCCTTGGGTTCAGTCCTCAATACTGGGAAGAACAAACGTGTTTGGTGGCTGGCAGCGTTGGCAGACGGCCGCCGGGAAGAGCCAGGCAGCAAACTTGGGCTTTGCAGCCCAGATGGTTTCAAGAACAGTAACAAACAACGCGTAAGCGACACAGCAGACTGATGGAAACAGACGGGCGGCAAAGCCTAAAATATTTACTATTTCCGACAGGTTGGAGGCTAAGTGTGAGGAACTCTTACTGGTTCCAGGTGGATGACAAGCCACAGGAGGACTAGGCTCTGCCAGTGTCACCACAATGAAGGAATGACTGTCCCTGAAGGTGGTTCACAGGGACAGCCAATTCCAAAGATGGTTCCCCTGTGAAAATGAGCCGGCACCAGGGAAATGGTCCCTTTGTGGGAGGTACCTAGATTTGGGCCTGGGAGATCTTGAGTCTTGAGCCTGTGGCTTGCTCCATCTGGGGCTTTGGCTAAGTATTTGGCAACATCAGATGGTGGTCCCCACCTGCAGGCATCTGTGAGTGTGTATCCCCTGAGGGCCTAGGGAGGTGGCCAAGCTGTGCTGCTGCTCAGAGGGGACCAGTCCTGCTGCCCTGCCAAGCTCTTGCTCTCTGTTCCCTTAAGACAGTGCTTGGTGTCTGTCCCACTCCTCATCAGTCCCCCCTGAACTGGGGTCACAGATGCCAACGTGGGTGCTGGGAATTGAACCCAGGATCTTCTGCAAGGTCAGTCAGGGTTCTTAACCGCTAAACCATCTTTCCTGCTCCTTTGTGCCTCCAATACTAACTTTGCATGTCGTTCTGAAAAGCCATATGACAGACAGAAACGTCTTAGGGGGAAAAGTGCAATTGGGTGCCGGGTTTCAGAAAGACAGCTAGTGCTGAGAGCTCCTCATGGTCCACGAGGCAGGAAGCAGGGGGAGACATAGAAACCAGAGTGGCCCTAACCTTCAAAGGCTTGCCCCTAGAGCCTGCTTTCTTCAGTCAGGCCTCACCTCCTAAAATCTCCACATCCTTCAAAATACCTGGAAATGGAGCATTCCGAACTCGAAACGGGAGCCTAGGAGGGTCATTCTAGATTCAAACAAGAGGACGGGGTTGTACTTCAGGGGTAGAGCACGGTCCCGGCATGCATGGGTCTGTGCTCTAGGCATGTTGGATTGTGAGTCTGCCCCTATGTCACCCTGAGGGCGGGCAGACTCACAATCCAACTTGCCTGCCATTCTTACAAGGACAGACACAGACAGACCAACCCCACGAGGAGAGAGTGCTGTTGAGGAGAAGCCCACATGGCCAACAAAGCAGAGACTCTTGGTGTCCATCTTCCAGAGGGCACCAAAGATGGCCAGACCCTAAGAGAAGGCAGAGAATATCCTAGAACCTTCCGGGGCCAGGAATGTGGCTCAGGTGAGAGGATGGGTGCTCGTCTAGCATGCTCTTAGCCCTGACCCCCACCCTTGGTACTCAGCCAGATGCGGCAGCACAACCCTGTAATCCCAGGATTTGGGAGGTGGAGGCAGGAGGATCAAAAGTTCAAGCTATCCTCAGCTACATAGTGAGTTCAAGGCTAGCCTGGGCTACAGGAGACCCTGTTTCAATAAAAGTGCATGGAGTCTATCGCTGGATTCTATGTAAAACAATGAATCATTTTATACAAATGACTTAGGATATGTGAGGATCCTGGGTTTGAGATGTGGGGGGAGGGGCAACCATTCTCACCAAAAATGGGGGTTGACTCTACTTGGCAAATGCTCTCCAAAATGTAAAAATAAAGTAAGATGAAAATAAAGGAGCTGAGCATCTGGGTTCAACTTCCTCACACTTAGGCTTTGCACTGTTGCTCACTGGGGCTCAGTGGAATGAGCAGGGCTCCTGACAGAGGGTCACTGGCTTCTCCTTCAGCTACCCTCCCATGCAGCCACCGCCAGCCCTGGTCCCGGTGCCTCACTCCCCCTGCAGACTCAGAGGACAGTTGAGCTGTGGATCTGCCTCTCTGACGGAGACAGTCACGCTGGAGGATTCTCAGAGGCCTGAGTTGGTGGGTTGGTTGGGTTCTGGGCAGCCTATGCCGGACGGTGGCTGGGAGGGTGAGGCAGGGCTTTGGTGTCTACTGTACCGAGAGGAGGGGAGGGCAGCTTAGACCCGAGAAGAAGCTCAGAGTCATTGTATGACCTCTGCGGAGGAAGCAGGGTGATTGGGTCAAGAAAGAGTGCAACAGCTCAGCAGGGTAAGATGTCTGTGATGCTGGGGTTCAGGAGGCTGGCTTTACATGGTCATGATTTGGAAGCTGGCCAAAAGACCCACGTGACCACCAGTGAACACGGATAACTAAAAGGTAGTTTATCTGTACAGTAGAATATTACCCATCCC